TCCAAAGCTGTTGCATGAGGTGAGCTCGGCAAGCTAGGCGAAACCGATCTCTCCTGGAAATCCCGACACTTTGCAGGAGTGGTAGACGCTGCAGACAAACTCCATCCAGCAAAATACAGACTTCAACTGGCTGGTGGGAAGCGGCAAACCGCGACGAAAGAAACACGCTGGATCTTGGCATGAGCCCGGCCCGCAAAGTCGGGCCTCCCCTAGAGAGGCCTCTCTCTCTCTCTATATATATATACACGTGAAAACCTCCAGCGCCACTTGGGCGCCATAGAGGCTGCCTGGGAGGCGGAAGGCATCCGGCTCTGAGAAGGACAATCGCCAATGGCTACATCGATGCTTGCCAGCGTGGACCTCACGTACTAAGATCTTGCACCGCGGATGTGAAAGTCGTGTGATGCAGGCGATGTGCTGTAGGCTATGTGGTGCAAGGTGCATGCTGCAACGCACGTGGTGTAAGCTGTGCGGTGCACGTTGTGTGGTGCAAGTGATGTCGTGCAAGCTATGTGGCGTAAACATTGCGATGAGAACGATGTGGTGCAAGCTACGTGGTGCAAGCCGTGCGGTGCACCCGTTGTGGCGTACGGTGTCTAGTACAAGCTGTGTAACTAGTGCAAACGATGTGGTGTAATGCATGTCGTGCAAGCTGTGTGGCACAAGCTATGAGGTGTGAGCTGTGCGGTGCAGGCAGTGTCGTGCAAGATGTGCGGCGGCGTGAGCAAAGGCATGCGGCGGGATCTGTGTGGTGCAGGCTAACTGCGCGGCGCTGGCTGAGCGGAGCAGCCTGCGTGGTGTGTGTGTGTGTGTGCAATGCGGTGAAAGCTGTGCGGTGGTAGCCGAGTGGCTCGGGACTTTGCTGTGCGAGCTGTGCGCCCACCCAGCGCCCACGAGGCGACCCACGAGGCGACCACGAGGCGCCCACGGGCGGGCACCGGGCGAAGCCTCGAAGCACCCCCCACCGCACGGCGTGCCCACTGGGCGCTCACGGGCGGGCGCCGGGCGAAGCCTCGGAGCACCCACCCATCGCACGAAGCAGAGTGCCCACACGAGGCGACCACGAGGCGCCCACGGGCGCCCCCGAGCGGGCACCTGGCGGAACGACGGCACACCCACCCGGCACGAGACGCCCACGAGGCGCCCACCGAGCGGGCACCAACCAAGAGCCCAGCACATCCAGCCAACTCTACCGTAAGGAACCGAAGCAAGAAGCACCAAGTGCACAAACTGCCCGAGGAACAGGAACAAAAAACCTCCGATTGCAAGCACCGTCTGGGGAAACATGTGACGGCACCCGGACCTACGATCCCTCCAGGCCCCCCACCGCCACTCAAACACACATGCGTCGCGAGAGGCACGGCGGGTACTCTTGTCGCCGCCTCGGCGTCATGGGCCGCCTCCGATCGGGGATCTGTTGACCGGGGTCAATCCATACCCGGGTCAGTCAGGCTTTGCAGGATCCTGCAAAACCCTGCAGGATCCTGCACCCAACCCCGGGCCAGTGCGACCCCGGCCCTGCAGGATCCTGCAAGATCCGGCGCTCTGGCTGACCCCCGTTTGCATGGACCCCCGTCTCGAGGCCCCCGCGATCCGAGTCTCGGGACCCGGGACTGGCAAACAAAAATAGCGACCCGCGGCGAAGACGCCGCGCCCAGGGCCCCAGAAGCGGACTCAGGGACGCCGGCTCGGCACGACACGCGCGGCCTGCAAAACACGCATCGGCCCGAGACCGCAGCACAGCGTGAAACAAAGAGGACGACGTCAGCGGCCTGGATGCACCGCCGCGGCCTCCTCCTCCTCCTCCTCCTCCTCCTCCACCTCCTCCTCCACCTCCTCCTCCTCCTCTTGAAACTCCTCCTCCTCCTCCTCCTCCTCCTCCTCCTCCTCCTCCTCCTCCTCCGCCTCCGCCTCCGCCTCCGCCTCCTCCTCCTCCTCCTCCTCCTCCTCCTCCTCCTCCTCCTCCTCCTCTTGCCGCCGCGGAGGACGCCGCGGTTCGGCCGTCGCCGCCGCCACCGCAGTGGCGGCCGCCGCTGCGGCCGCAACGGCGGCTGCAGCGCGCGGCAGGTGAGCGACGATCGAAGACGGGTCCTACGCGAAGTGGCATCGCGACCTTGTGCCGCGGCGTACGTACGCGGGCCGCGAGCGCGGAACACCACATTGGAGACGAGGGCGCTCACGCGCGAGCTTGCGCGGGCAGCTTAGGCGCCAAGGTCGGCGCAAACGACTCCGTCTTCTTTGCGTCGTTCAGGTGGAGGCCGAAGGCACCGCCGAATCCTTTGCTGAATAAGTGCCATCCGACAGCCGCTTCGATGGCGCTCCCCACCGCCCAGCGGAGACCAGTCCTGCATCTGCGACAAGAATGTCTCGTCCGCCGCCTTCGCGGCCTCCATCTCCTCCCTCTGCTCCTGGCCGCCGCGCCGGCCCCTTCCTCCTCCCCCACCTCCACCCTCCACCACCCTATCTATCTCATTCTCCCTCCTCCTCCTCCTCCTCCTCCTCCTCCTTCCCGCCCACTACCCTCCTCCTCCTCCTCCTCCTCCTCCTCCCCTCCTCCTCCCCTCCTCCTGCTCCGTCTCTTTCCCTCCCTCCCTCCCCTCCCTCCCTCCCTCCCTCCCTCTCTCCTTCCTCCCTCCTCCTCCATCCTCCTCCTCCTCCTCCACCCGACTCTCTCCTTGTCAGGCAACGGTGCCGACTCAGTGGGGCCGCCGGGCCGCCCCCACAGAGAAGCAGCAGCGAGATACGGCTCGGCAAATCCGAAGACATCGATTTCGACAAGAAGCAAGCCAATCTCACCAGCGTAATGCTGAAGCACACCCTCATGACGGCGCAGACCGTGCGCGACATTTGTCAGGCGTTGGCAGAACAGGGTTTGGTGCGACCTAGTTTAGTGATGTGTACTGGGGACGCCCCCCCCCCGCCCCGTTCCACTAACTGGAACTGCCGTCACCCGGAAAGCACCAGCTTCATTCCTAGGCATTCCCAGACGCCGCCAGCGCGAAACGTGACGTCACCGGCACCCTTTCCCGCTCCCACGGTGACGGCCGCCATCGCCCTGGAGCCAAAGAATCGGCTCCTCGTTCGGGGTGATGAGGTCCTACGAACCGAACAAGAGGAAGGCACATATCATGACAAGCGGCGTACGTGGTGAGCCTGAGCGCGCCGCCGGAATCAGGAGAGTCGCAGCTGCCTTCACCGCTGCAAGCTCGGTCGCTGCTCCGCAGGGCACTGCACGAGATCGGCGGCCGTCGCGCCTCGGGCGCGGCTCCGCCAGGGGCCATGGAGCAGATGCGGCAAAACGCAGTGGACGCCAAGGGCGGAGCCGCTGAGCAGTGGCGGGATACCCTGGCCATCGCTCGGACGTCCATTCCCTGTGTTTTTTTTGGTTTCGTGCGTGGTTTTTTCGCCAAAGATCAAGGATGCTCCTCGATGGCCCTCGCCGAAGGAAAAATGCACACATCCGAGCGATGCCAAGTACCTGACCACTGCACGAGCTTCTAGCACTCGTGGGAGTGGCTGGGCTCAGCGTCGCCGGACTCGCGTCCCGACCGCCACAGGCCCCGTAAGGTTGCAGCGTGCTGGATCCTGGGTGTCTCTGCAGGTCGGGCGTGTCAGCGTCCTGTCGGATCCGATCATGTCCGAACGGGGAACGGGTTACACACGGACAGCTGTTGCTTGATCCGATTACAGTCGGGGCGTTGACCTAAGGGACCCTAAATAAGGAACGAGGCCCCTTTTCTCCAGAAGTCGAACTTCGATTTCCCTTCGAAAACCTAAGGAAAACGTGGGGCAAACTGTGAAACAATTAAGGAACGCGGAGCCCATCCCCAACGAAAAGGGTTCCTTCTTCAGGGCCCCGACTGTACTTCCATAAACGGGTGGGTTGTACACGGCGAGTTGTTGCTTGAACTGACTGTCTCCATGGATGAGTGGGTTGTTCACGTTGTCCTGCTGCTTGGTCCGATGATTTCCGTGCATGCGTGGGTTGCACACGGCGAGCTGTTGCCTGATCACCTGTTCTGCTGGCCCCCCTCACTCGTTCACTCAAGCCATGCATCCTGCAGGTCGCGTCGGCACGACATCCTCTTGGACCGTCGGTTGAAAACGTATAGCGAAACAGTGCATCAACCGCCAGAACTGTTGAATAAAAAACACCCGAGCATCAATACATTCAATTGCCTAGGAGGAGAAGAAGAAGGAACAAGGGGGGGGAACACAAAACAACTTGGGTGCTTGGCTTCGCGGTCCGTCTGTACGTCAACCGCTCCGTCATCGTGCTGCTCGGTAGCCCTTTGTCATATCCCAGTGCTTCGCAGCTTTGCCCTGGGGTTCCCCTCGGGTAGTTTCTGTGCTGTCCACTGCCGCCCTGAGTACAGAGCCCTCAGGGAGGCAGTGGACGGCACACAAGCTCCGTCGTGATGGGCAGGCGCAGCAATGCTGCGACATGTGCGTCGCCGTGTCCCGAACAGCCCTTTGCCCAGTGCTGCAGACGTTGAAGCAATGCGGCCACCGTTCATCACTGGCGGACCAACTGAAGACACACGAGCTGGGCAGAGCCATTCGAAGTCGAAACACCCCCCCAATGCCTATCCCCCCCTCATCGTTGCCCCCGAGGCCCTCCTCCCGCCTCCGTCCGTCTCCTCCGTTCCCTCGTCGTCCGTCCCCCTCTGCCGCTCATCCCTCCCTCCTGGCCCCTGTTCCGTTTGGCTCTCGGGCGACAATCCCTCTTGCATATTGTAAGGCCGGGCTACCGGCGCTGTGGCGAGCGTTCTCCTATTCGGCGTTTCGGCATTGGGCGGAGGGAGGGGGGGTCGGGCTCTGGACCTCTGCTGAGTGCTGCTGCTTGCAACAGTGCGTCCTCTGGGCGAGACTCCGCCTGCTTGAAACATGCGCCAAAAACATCCTAGATCTACTCCATGGGGGGGTGAGAGGGGGTGCGAGGGCCCGCGCCGATCCGCAAAACAATGACTCAGAAAACGATCACTAGGAAGAAGGCGGGGTAGGGAATCTGCTTTTGCGGCACCCAGCGCGCACAGAAACACATGTAGGAAATTATTCACAACGCACTCCAACATATCAAATACGCAGTTCATCGAACGAAAACGACACAGCGAACTGCAGGAAAGCGCGAACCACGTTTTCCTGCAATTGGTTTGGACACGGACCAATCCCACTTATAAAGCCGAAACCTACCACGCCGTTACGTAGAACACCGTTCGCCCGTCTACGGTGTCTCGGATCACGCTCGTGCCTGTATTTGGAGTCCCGAAACGGTGCGGTGACAGACCGTGCGTTGACCTCGAAATTCCCCAAGACCTCTTCACGGTCCGTTACCGCACGGTCTTGGGACCTCGGAGGCCCCAGTCGCCCGAGACGTCCTCGGAGAACTGCCCGAGTCCCAACACCGTGCGGTGACCCCAAATCCCCACCGACTCAACACACGGTGTGGTCACCACCCCGTTTGGGGGCCCCCGACCTTGTGCGTCGGCGCGCGCATCCCCGGGGTCCAGGCACGAATTCGACACGTTCCCGTACTCTTAGCGGCACCACACGCTTCACGAGCACATGCATAGTAAGGCATTGCGCGAGCGCACCGAGCAGCCTGTCTTCCTCGCTTCTTGCTGCTGCAGCCCGCCATCGCTCTGCGCGGTGCATCGGCGACGTCGGCGGTGTATCGGCGACGTCGGCGTGGAGAAAGTTGGCTCCACATAGAGCCGCATCGTCGATGCATCGTCGATGCAACGGCGATGCAGCGCGATTCTCCGACCCCATCTAAGGTCTAGAATCCGACCAACCCCCTCTAATCTCAACTCTCAACTCCTCTCCTCGTCGCTGCACCCTCGTCGCTGCAGCCTCCCAACTCTCCTCGGCGCCGGAGGCGCCGCCGGGGGGGGCCCAGGCTCCGATCCAAGAAACCCGCGCGGAGCGCCCGAAGTGTACGTTTATGGCGCTTTTTCTTAGAATGGTACCAACCCCCTCAACTCTCAACTCTCAACTCCTCTCCTCGCCTCTCCTCTCCCTCCTCCGCCTCCTCCTCCTCCTCCTCGTCCTCCTCCTCCTCCTCCTCCCTCCTCCCTCCTCCCTCCTCCCTCCTCCCTCCTCCCTCCCTCCTCCTCCCTCCCTCCTCCTCACCTCTCCTCTCCTCTCCGTCTCCTCATACCCCCCCCCCTCGCCGCTGCAGCCCCCCTCGTCAGGGTCCTTCGCCTGCGCCATCCTGTTAAGGAGGTCGGCGAGCTCCGCCTCCCCCCACCAAGGTCTGCGAGGAAAGGAGACCGCGTGTCCGCCCGCGCCGCGCCCCCCCTGGACAGTGGCAATTCAAATATGCCCAGGGCCACGCAAACAAATACACACAAATCCCAAGATTCCCAATATATCATGATATTTTCAGGGTTTTCGCCTCCCCCCCCCACTTCCCATAGTTTCCCATATTTTCCTGGGAACCGACGATGAATTGTGTGCCGACAACGGCGTTCGCAACGCCAATTCTGGGCTCGGCAATTATCCGCGGCGAGCGTGGGGGGGAAACGAGAAGGAGAGAAAGCCTTCTCAGAAGGCGGCGGGACTTCTCAGGGACTTCCGAACCTTATGAGAAGGCCTTCTCCTTCTCACTTCCCACCTCGCTCGCCGCCGAAATTAAGCTGGACGACCGAAGCACGTCGATGCAATGCTTTGTCAGTCTCGGGCAAACGTTTCCCCTGCGAGACTCTTCTGAGCCACACCGGCTACGGACGGTGTGCGTGCAAAAGGGTATCGGACTAGTACCCCAGCGCGTCTACACGCCTTCCTGACTTAGCACAGACGGCGTTGACAACGATCGTGGGCCCAAGATGTGCCTGGCCAAATTCGTCGTCGGTGTATCCACCAGAGTACTACTACCCCCTGGGACGTTGAGGCGTGCTAGAAGCGACGAGGAATGGAGGAAGACGACGGCGAGCACAAAGAGAGACACCCTGCCACGACGCAGAAGACGTGCCAACGCTCGGACGCTCATTCCCGGCGCACTGTTGGTTTCGTGCGTGCTCTTTCTCGAGATGATCCACCATTATCGATCATGGTCCAGATTTTCTGGCGCTGGTCCCGCCGAACAAAATGAACACGTCCGAGCGATACCAAGAATCGCAAATCTGCTAACCCGGGTCAGTCAGACCCAGGTCAGCAGGAAACCAAAAAACTGCCAGGCAAGAAAAAACAACAAAAACTGCAACGCAGGGCTTCGCAAACCCGGGTCAGCCAACATGCGCGGCCGCCTCGCGGCCGCGAGCGGCTCGCCAACCCGGGTCAGCCAGAGGGGATCTTCGCAGGATCCTGTAGGAAACAGTGCCCTGGCTGACCCCCGTTTGCATTGACCTCCGTCCCTTAAACTCCGAAAGACGAGCATGCCACAGATTCCGGCTCTCCCGACTCTCGGGACACGAGGTGCCACGCGCAACGGCGTCCTGCGCGTTCCTCGAACGGCCGCCACGCTGGCACGCTGGCAGGCCTTGCCGCGGGCAGCGGGATAGCTGCAATCGCCCGACCCCCTGTCAGCGCCACCCTGGTGGGCAAATACTCGCTAGACTCAGGTCGGGCATACCCTCCTACAGGCGGATTGTGGAAGAAAGATAAAACATGTGCGAGAAAAAACAAATTACACCAGAGAAGAACCCCAATCAGTGGATGGTTTTCGCTGAGGAGATCGAAGGGGAACCCAGGAGCCTCGACCGGGAACCCGGGAACCCTAGAACCCCAAACCCACCGAAATCGGCCCGGAAACAATAACCGGGAACCCGGGAACCCGGAACCGGCAACCCGGGAACCCAGCCTGCTACCAGAATCGGCGGGAAACGTTCGCCAAATCTTTCGACTCCTGCCAGGATCCCTTCAGTGCGAGCACTGCTTCGGGGAAAGCACGAAAAAGCGTCCCAGACTATTCTTTATAAAAATAGTCTGGGACGCTACTCTTTATAAAGAACTGTCTATGTTCAAGACTGGGTATACCTAGTCTTACACATGCCTCCTCTGGAGGCACATGCCCGACTTCACGCCGGGCCCAGGCCCAGGCCGGCGCAAGAGCCACGCTGCGGCGCCGCTTGCGCGACCACGGCTCGCTCCGACCGCTCTCCTGCCGCTTCCCTGCGCTGCCACCTGTGGGGCGATCTCGGATACCCCGAACCCAAAAACGTGTTCATCCCTTGGGGCGCATGCTTTGCTTCCGCCGCCTTCCGCCGAGCTTCCGCCGAGCTTCCGCCGGCGGGGCGGCCTCGTTTTACTTCCGCCGACCTTCCGCCGCCTTCCGCCGCGGAAGAGACGACAATTCCTTCGATCCTCGAAGGCAAGGCCCTTTTTGGAACGCCTCATGTACCCCTTCTCGGCTACACGCACGAGGGACCCCTCGGCGGCCAGCGAGGGGGGCAAACGAGAAGGAGAGAAGGCCTTCTCAGAAGGCGGCGGGACTTCTCAGAAGCCCCTTATCGCGCCTTCTGAGAAGTGTTTGTCTGTCTTCGGGGGAGGCTTAAGAAAACTGCTCAGAAGGACGGCGGACTTCCGAGCCTTCTGAGAAGGCCTTCTCCTTCTCACTTCCCCATTCGCGCGCCGCCGAATCCCAGGCAAGAATGACCTCTTGTGCGCGGCTCCTGGGAGGTGCGGGGAGACCGAAACCCGTGCGCGCAAGCCGCTGCTGGCGCATCGCATTCGGGCCATCTGGGGACCCCAACGTGCCCGCACCAAAGGTCGCTCTGGCGGAAGGTCACTCTCGCGTGCAGCCGTCCTTGCCCGGTACCTCTCTCCGAGGCCCTGGCCCTGATGCCCTCCAGCAAACCCCAGACCCCCCAGGCGTCGCAGCAGAACACATCACGGCGGGCGCCTCTGCTCGCTCGTTCGGCGTCCCCTGGGGTGCGTCGCAAGGAACGGTCCGCGATCAAAGGGCCCTTCCCGGGAACGGGATCGCTCAAAAATAAAGCTGTTCCGAGGCCTGGGCGTTCTAACGTTGCCTCCCCGGGCAGAGTTGAAAGGGGAATCTGCTCGGGGCCACCAGTCCCGTCCTCCACCCCTCCCCATCCCCTGCGTGCGCTCCGCCTCCCTTCTCCCCCGTTCTCCTCCCTCATTGCCCTGCCCTGCTCCTCCTCATGCTCATCCTCTGTACTGTCTCCTCCCTCCTGCTCCTCCTCCTGCTCCTCCTCCCTCCTACTCCTCCTCCTCTTCTCCCTATCCTCCTCGCCCTCCACGGAAAACTCTGGACGCCTCTCGATGTCTCCCAACTAACCTTGAGATGCCTCCGAAAGCCTCCGAGACGTGCCTATAGCCTCTCCAAGCCTCACCTCGCCGAGAAGCACGAGGAGGTACGTTGTCGGAACTTACCGGATATCTTATCAGGTACTCGTTGGATTCTGTAACTTCTGGTCGGCTCCGGGAACATCCTGGAGGCTTCTGGGGGGCTCCGGGAGCTCCAGCAGGGGAGCTGAGGAGGGAGCATGAGGAAAGCGAGGAGGAGGAGGAGGGAGAGGGAGAGGGAGAAGCAACGGGGTTCTAGTCAGGGATCGACCTAAACAGTGCTCTTCGTTTTCGTTTTGTTGTCGTTATCCCTAGCTTTGTCTTCAATCCGCCTGCGCTGCAGAACGAAAGCGAGACGAAGACGGCCCACGAAATCGCCAAAACACAGTTTAAGTCGACCCCTGGTTCTAGCATGCTCTGTGGGTTGGTTCTGCGATGCCTCTTGGCCTTCCGGGCGGCGGGGACACGCTGCGAGTAGCTGCCCGTGATGTTCGGGGACAGGCTCGCACAGCACAGCCCCACAGGGTCAACAAGAGAACAGCAGTCTCTGTGACAGGGCACCGCGCTAATGTGCACGATGCTCCCTCGATTACCTCAAGCGCCCCGCTTCGCTACCCAGCGCTACGACAAGGGAAAGTACCAATCTCGACTTCAACAGAAAATACCACGAGGAGGAAGAGGGAAGCAATAACGACGAAGACGACGATGAGGCAGCCTCCTTCCTGTCCTTCGTCTCGGACGCAATGAAGATCTGGAGGCGTATGCTTTCGACCGCAGAGCCCGATTGCAACGCCTCTGCGCATACTCCAGTGGATCGACAACGTCGCTAGTGTTGAGCAGGGGCCGACCGTCCTGGCATTCATTTTGGCCACGAAGATATACTCTTAAAACAAAAGAATGTTCGAACAAAACAAAAAGAAAACGATGCTCTTATAGCATCAACCCGATAAGCAAGATGGTCTCAGCCAGAACTGCTCGAACAACATTTGGTCAAAATCACGAAAGGTTCTTATACAATTATTTGGTGGCCTATAGGTGGGTCAGGACGCTTCGCCACCTTGTGTTCATATTTAATTCCACATATTTAGCGGCATCGACACCACAGAAGGACTGGCGACCAGCGTGTCCAGAGAGGGGCCAGTGGCCATGGATGGGAAGCGCCGCTGCAAAACCGGCATCGGAGAAACGCGCAGCATCGCCGATTCCTCGGCGACGTCGGGATGCAAAAGTGAGGCGCAACCTTGGGGGGCGCGGACTGGCACAGGGGGGGAACATCGACCTGGAATCGGCGATACATCGCCGATAGATCGGCGATAGGCTCCCGACATCGAATCCGAACGTTCCTGGGCGGGGTGGGGCTGTCGGGCCCCAATCGGCAATCAATGGGCGAATAGGGGGCGATGCATCCCCCCCTGGGCCCATCCCCCTCTATCGTTGCTCCTGAAGAAGATGTGGCTCCGTATCGCGCCGCATCGCAAGTGCATCGGCTATGCAGCGTAGACCTCGGACCCCGTCTGCTCTGGCACTGCCTGGCCGTCTCTGGCAACCCCCGGTGCGCTGGCGATGTGCTCACTCGGGGGTCACGTTATTTTTGCGTCCGCCAAGCGCCCGCCTGCCTCTGGCGGCGAAGCCGCCCTAGTCGAACTCTCGCCAGCTTCCGCCGAGGGCGAAAGGACACTTCGACCCCTCGAAGACAGAACCGTTTGGGGAACGCCCTGCAATCAGAGCCTTGCTGTGAACAACAGTTCGCTGGGGACGAAGCCTCGATTCGGCCCCGCATGCGCCCCATGCAGGTGCACGAGAGAAGGCAGAGACACCCATGTACACATGTGTGACAACATTGCTGACGTCGCGGTGATGGCTCCGCGGCGATGCACTTCGCCTGAGACTTCCTCACCAGTCATGATCCTGAAGTTTAGAATTAGCAGCAGCTTCACGGACGGAGGGCGGGTCGATTTCAAAATGTGGCTCTCGCCTTAGCGCCGCGCACATTCGTTTTACAACGTTGGGAGACTTGTACGGATGGAGGGCGGATCGCTTTCAAAATGTAGCTCTCGCTTTCGCGCCGCGCACATTCGTCTTAAAAGTTTCACGGATGGAGGGCGAGTGTTTTTTTGATGTAGCTCTCGCCTGAGCGCCGCGCTCATTTGTCTTAAGTGTTTGTAGCAGTTAAAGACATGGTTAACTTCCCAATAATGGCGTTTTGGCCCGATGTCGAAATGTCATGGCGCAACAGTCACGTTTATTCGCGGTGTAGAGGTCCCAGGAATGATGTCCTGGTATAGTTTAGGATTTTCACACAGGTGTCTTCCAACGGGGCACTGCCCTGAGTGAAAATTGATCCATGCAGGGGCCTATGAAGAGGGGACTTGGAGGGAGGGTTTATTGCAATATCGTTGATGAGTCTCAGGTTCGCACTGGTCCTCCTCCTCGTCCCCCCTCCTCCCCCTCTTCCTCCTCCTCCTCCTCTCACTCCTCCTTCTCCTCCTCCTCCTCCTCCTCCTCCTCCTCCTCCTTCTCGTCCTCATCCTCGTCCTCCTCCTCCTCCTCCTCCTCCTCCTCCTCCTCCTCCTCCTCCTCCTCCTCCTCCCTCATCCCCCCGTAGCCACCTCTGGACGCCTCCCGAAGCCTCCCGAGACGCACCGAGACGCCCCCAGGAGGCCCCCGAGGAGTGCCACCAGGCCCCCCCGAGGGCTGCCGCCCGCCCCGCCGCCGCCACCGCCCGGGCAGGGCAGCGCCGCAGGCGGCAGGAGGCGGCCGCCGACCGCACCCCCCGTCGAAGCCGGGGGCACACCGACGGTCTCGAAGCAGCGTGCAGCTCGCGCTCGTCCTCCTTCCTCCTTCCTCCTCCTCCTCCTCTCCTCCTCCTCCTCCTCCTCCTCCTCCTCCCTCTCCTCCTCCTCCTCCTCCTCCTCCCTCCTCCCTCCTCCCTCCCTCCCTCCCCCTCCTCCCTCCTCCTCCTCTCCTCCTTCCTCCTCCTCCTTCCTCCTCCTCCTCCTCCTCCTCCTCCTCCTCCTCCTCCTCCTCATTCCTCCTTGTCCTCCCCCTCCTCCATTTCCTCCCCCCCTCCTATTTCTTCCTTCTCCTTCCTCCTCCTCCTCCTTCCTCCTCCTCCTCCTTCCTCCTCCTCGCGCTCGTCCAGGGGGGGGGGAGGGGCGTCCAAGAGGAGGCCTCGCAGCAGATCACGGCCCGAGGCACGTGCGCGGCCCGGGGGGGGGGGTCGCATCAGGAAAAGAAGGAGCGCCACGAGGTCTGGGGAGATGCCATGGCCCCCCGGCCAGGAGATCCACCCCACCCTAATCATCACCCCCCTCGTGGCCGCCCCCGAGTGCCTGACGCGGGAAGCAGAAGGACATGCCGAAGCTACGTGCTGATGTTGGAGGCGCACGTCCGGCGCGAACATCTAGCACGAACGTGCTACCGCATGCCGCGTACCGTTTCCCGAGCGGCGTGGCCAGAAGACGCCCGCCCCAGAGCTTGTACTGCAGGACTTCTGGGCGGGCGCGTCGCCCAGTGTGGGGCCGAGAGTATCAGTCTGCTCGGGCGGTGCCGATGACGGTCGCAGAACAACGCGCAGCCCGAGTCGAGCTCTCCATCCGGGCTGCTGTTGAAGCAGGTGCCGGTCCACCTCATGTGTGGGCGCGCGCTGCGGCAAGGATCGCCGGGCCACACGGGCCCAGCAGGGTGTGCAAGGGCAAAGGGATTATGATGCTGCTGATGCTGATGCTGATGCTGCTGCTGCTGATGATGATGACGATGATGATGATGACGACGACGATGACAATGATGATGGTGATGATGATGATGATGACAATGGTGATGGTGATGATCATGATGATGATGGTGATGATGACGATGATGATGGTGATGATGCTGCTGATGATGATGATGATACTGACGATGCTGATGATGAGGAGAAGGATGTTGATGGTGATGATGATGATGATCATGATGATGATGATGATGATGCTGATGATGATGATGATAGTGATGGTGATGATGATGAGGAGGAGGAGGAGGAGGTGGACGAGGAGGAGGAGGAGGGGAAGCAAACACGCAATAGGCTCGTCGTCCATGGGTGCGTAGCGTAAAGGGGAGGAGGAGGAGGAGGAGGAGGAGGAGGAGGTAAGGTAAGGTACGGCGCTTCGGACGGTTTCCTTCATGCACTAGCTCGAGCACCAGACGCGCTCGGGCTATACTTTGCATAGCCATCAGCGTGAGAAATGGAGCGGGAGGCCTCTGCTCCAGATGAGGCCTGCCCATGCGACCTCCGCCCGAGTACCTCGGGGGGAGGTGGCAAGACGGCGGCGGGGCTCCTGCCCGCCTCTGGTAGACCGATCTGCGCCGCACTCCCTGCCTGATCCCGATGGGGGGCGCACTGGCCCTCCAATGGAATCGGGAAGGTCGTACTTTGCATATCCGTCCATTATCTCGCGGAGGCGGCTGCTGCTGGCCCCTTTGGCGAACAGCTGCCGCAAGGGGCACTGGTCGGGTTCTCTCGTGCGAGCGAGGGGGGAAGCGAGGGACGACTGACGACGCACTCGAGGAGGGGGGAGGGGGGGCGGTGAGCTCTTGCCCACCTCTGGCTGATCGATCTGCTCCGCACTCCCCGCCTGATCCCTATGGGGGGCACTCTCGCCCTCCAGGAGAATCGGGAAGGTCGTACTTCGCATATCTGTCCTGAGCGGGCGCTTGCCAGGCCTATAGCCTCGAGCGCGCATGCCTGGCTTGCTACGTGGGCTCATCTAGTGCTCACTACTTGCTGGTCTCAGCTGGTGCACCTGCTGCTCTGGGGACTCTGGCTGTCCCAGCACCCGCTGCGGCTGCCACGCCGCTGTTGAGGCCCAGCTCGTCGACGTAGTTGACTTCGTCGGGCCAAGGGCCGACGAGCGATTCATCCTCTGTCTGAATCAGGTTCAGGCCGTGCCTCAAGCCCATCACTGCATTCGCGAGGATCATGCGCTGGCTCGTCAGCTGCCTGGTGACTTCCTGGCGCTCTAGCATCTCTTCCTGCTCCATGACCACTGGGGGCGCCAGCCGCTCAAGCGACAAGTTCACGAGCGTCTGCTGCCTGATGAGCGCTGAGATGATGCCGTTCAGCGGGGCGATCTGCTCGTCCAGCACAGGCCTCGTAGACCTCAGCCTGCTGTTGCCTGTCATCAAGCGGCCACTGGCGCTGCTGTAGCGGATGCCGAAGTGCGCGAGGTGCGCTGGTGGCGCTGCTAGTGGGCCATGCCCTTGTGGCAGCATCGCTCTGGTTGTAGTGAGGTGGCGAAGAAATCGAGGAGAGGCGAGCTCGCACTTCTGAACCAAAATTGGCTGAGTACCGTTTGCATAGTAGGAAGAATAGAGAGACCTTCTGCTGGTGTGGTTTGTGAATGGGCTCCTGCTTTCACATATGTTGTCCGATCCGAGTAATTTAAAACGCAGATAGATCGGTGCTTCGTAGGAGCAAACACACGTGTCACTTCACATCTGCTGTCCGATCCGAGCATTTTGGAAGATCACAACTTCGTGTGAGCAAGCGCACATGTCACGTCACATCAGCATGCCGTGGAAGAGGTGGTGGTAGGTCGGAGTAGGAATGAGAGACGTTGTTGTAACAACTCTCAGAGGCCGTGAAACATCCTGTGCAATGTCTTAAGGGTCTGCTCGCTGATCCGAGGGGGGCTCTGGAGGTCTGCTGAGGCCTGGTGGGGGTCCCAGTTCGGCAGTCCTTCTTCGCCTGTCTCGGTAGCTTGTAGCTAGAGA